ACTATTAGGATACAAAATTGCTGATCACTGGAGGATTTGAGAAGATTCTCCGTGTCTTTGACTTGAATCGGTTGGATGCACCTCCCACGGAAGTCGATAAATCTCCTGGATCCATCAGAACTCTCACATGGCTTCACAGTGACCAGACGATATTAAGTTCTTGCACTGATATTGGTGGCGTAAGGCATGAACTATATGAAATTAGAAGCCGCACCTTGTCGAGTAGTTTGATAACTATTTCCTTTTGTTTTGTTCTAACTTTTAATCTTATACAGGCTATGGGATGTTAGGAGTGGGAAGATTGTGCAGACATTGGAGACAAAGTCTCCGGTCACCAGTGCTGAAGTGAGCCAAGATGGACGATACATTACTACTGCTGATGGGTCAACTGTTAAATTCTGGGACGCTAACCAGTAAGTTCTCAATAGAAAAAAAAAAGTTTGTTGCCTTTAGTAAATTGCTCAAGGTCTCTATCTGTCTCTAGTTTTGGACTAGTGAAGAGTTATGACATGCCATGCAATATCGAATCTGCATCGCTCGAGCCCAAGTCTGGTGAAAAGTTTGTAGCTGGTGGTGAGGATATGTGGGTCCGAGTGTTTGATTTTTACACCGGCGAGGAGATTGGTGAGTGACTCTCAAAACATTTTACTATCATATTAAAAAAGTCAGTATGTAAGAACTGGTATCTACTTAGTCTTTAGTAAAAGCATAACACCGAGGCAAAATAGGTTTGGTGAGGAGGATTTGGTTTCTGATTGTTCTATCTTTTGTATGCACTTAGGATGCAACAAGGGACATCATGGTCCGGTACACTGCGTGAGGTTTTCACCAACGGGTGAGTCCTACGCCTCGGGATCTGAAGACGGAACCATCAGGATCTGGCAATCAACACCAAATCATAGTTTGGATGAAGTTGCTAAGAAGATTGAAGGCTTTCACATCAACAAAGAAGGAAAAAACACCGCAGATAAACCTTCTGATGGTTACTAGTTGATTTGTTGTGTTTTGAGTTTCGAATATACAAAAAGGACCGTTCCGTATCTTTT